CATTTTTTTTCCCAGGATAAATCCCCACATCCCACATTTGCTGTCCCCTGTTTTTTTTGTGTGTGTGTGTTTTGTTTTTTTTTTTTAATCAATTAAGACTTGGAACAAAGTTTTGTTTGGGGTTTGATTTGGGGCCTGATTTGGGGTCTGGTTTAGGTCTTAGTTAGAGATCTGGTTTAGGGCCTGGTTTTGGTCTGGTTTAGGGCCTGGTTGTGGTCTGGTTTAGGGCCTGGTTGTGGTCTGGTTTAGGACTTGGTTAGAGATCTGGTTTAGGGCCTGAGTTTGGTCTGGTTTAGGGCCTGGTTTGGGACTTGGTTAAAGATCTGGTTTAAGGCCTGGTTTTGGTCTGGTTTAGGGCCTGGTTTTGGTCTCATTTGGGGTCTGATTTAGGGCCTGGTTTGGAGCCATCTCCAGGGCCCAGCTGCAGAGTTTTCATGCAGCACTTACAGAGGACAAAGTAAAATCATTTTTTTTCCCAGGATAAATCCCCACATCCCACATTTGCTGTCCCCTCAGGAGCACTCCGAGCCGGACTCTCCTTCACCCACCAGTGGCTTTTGGTTCCCACCTGGCCAGACAAACCCTGCCTGAATAAATGATTTTAAAGCATTGAGAAACCACTTTTGGGAGTGGTGATCAGCGCCAGCTCTCTCCAAAGCTGTGCCAATCACTCTGGAGGATTATTCGGAATATTCCTGGTTTATTTCCCTCTTTTTGCTGTCAACTTCAGCCCCTGCTTTGTGCAACTGCCTGGCAATTCTCAGGTTCAGCAGGAAGGGAAATGATGATAAATAACTGTGCCAAAAAAAGACAATGGTTTTGAGCTGCTCTGGAGGTTTGGGCAAAGCAGCAAATCCCACAAATTCCCTTTCAAAACTGAGGGAAAAGGGTCGGGTGAGGATGGTATTTCCTGGCAAGGGTTTATCAGGAATAGACATCACACAAAAAGCATCACTTAGTTCTAGTGAGAGTCCTTCAATCACAGGGGGAAAATGTAGGAAGAGGAGTTGCATAGAAATCCTTTCTGGATTTATAAAAATGTTTAGATCTGGCTTTAGGGGCTGAAAATTGGGACTTTTTGCCCTGAGGATGGATCAGATCAATGCAAAATCCAGTGGTTGTGTTGTGCTGTTCCTTGTTCCTTGCATATTCCCCTGGCACAGGGAATGGCTCTGCCCAAAACAGGGCAAACCCAGCCCAGCCATCTGCAGGAGAATCCTGGGAATGATGGCAAAAACCTCCTGGGAAATATGGCAAAAATGTCCTGGGAATTATGGCAAAAATGTCCTGAGAATTATGGCAAAAATCCCCTGGGAATTATGACCAAAACCTCCCTAAACTGTTGGGGCTGGGGAGGAATAGTTGGAATTCATGGCCAAGCTCTGCTCTGCTCCAGGCAGGTGGAGGAATTTCCCTTAGGAAAGCACAAAATTCCATTTTATATGGAATGGGAATGGGTTGGGAGGGACCTTAAAGCCCATCCTCCTCCAACCCCAGCACTTTCCAGGGTGCACCAAGCCCCATCCTGATCACTTCCAAGGATGAGGCAGCCAGAGCTTTTCTGGGAATCTATGCCAGGGCCTGCCCACCTCACTGCAAAAAAACTTCATAATACCTCATCTAAATCAACCCATTTTTAGGTCAAGCCCATCCCCGTTGTCCTATCAGGAATCCCTGTTTTTGGAGCTGCAGGACAAGGTGCCCTTGGCTGGCCAGCAGTGACTCGTGGCAGGGCAAGCTGTGTCCTCGCCGTGCTCCTCCAGGCGTGGCCCAGCTCCCTTTCCTCAGGAACACAATGATCTTCCCTGACCTTCCAGCTCAAGCTGTTCCCAGAAAAAAAAGGAGCTCCAGCTGCTCCACAAAACCCCTTTTGCACCAAGCCTTGCAGTTGGTTTGGGAAACTTGCCTGGGAAAAGCTGCTTCGTGAGCTCAGCTCGGAGTCTTCCAGGAGTCTTGGTCCTCTCAGGAATTTAAAATAGCAAAAAATTAAATGTAAAATCCAAGGATCTTTTGGGATGCTGGTGAAGGTGAGGAGGGTTTGTGTCCTGTTGCAAACCCTCCCTGAGATGGTGAAATCCCATCAAATTATTCCCAATAATTTTGAGGATTCAGGAGGCTGGATGGGGATGCAGATTCTTGGGAATGAACCCAGACTCGGGCGTGTCCGTCTGGAGGGACAGGGAATGAGGGACACAATTCCAACAGGAACGATGGGATTCTTCCAGGGAATGAGGGACATAATCCCAACAGGAACTGTGAGATTCTCCCAAGAAATTAGGTACAAAATTCCAACAGGAATGATGGGATTCTCCCAGGGAATGAGGGACACAATCCCAACAGGAACTATGGAATTCTCCCAAGGAATGAGGGACACAATCCCAATGCGAGCTGTGGGATTATCCCAAGAAATGAGGGACACAATCCCAACGGGAGCTGTGGGATTCTCCCAGGGCTCCTCCCGTGCTGCTGCCTGGCACTGAGCATCCAGCACTGCTCCAAATCCAGTTTGCAGGAATTCAGTGGGATTCCAGGCTCTGAAGAACACAAATATAAAGTCAGCCTCATTATTTTGAGGAATAGTGGGGCCTGGAATATTTTAAATCCATATCAAGCACAATTGGTGGTGCCCAAAATTCCTATGAGGCTCAGCTTGCATAAAAACTCCCATGGATTAAATCAAACATTCCAAGAAACAACAGCAAATCCCACATTCCCATTGGTTGTGTTACAAAAGGAGACCACGAGCTCCTTGGAGAAGCTCCTTGGTTAACCCTTTGTTTGCCTGGATTTTCCCTGGATTTCCAAAGGCTGGGGATCATGGGGAGGTTTTACAGCTGTGAAGCCATTCCCACTTTTCCTGCCTCTCCAGCTTCCCTGCAGCCCCTCCAGGAGGGCTCTGAGGTGCCCAAACCTTCCTTTCTCCAGGGAAATATTCCAAATTTTCACAGCCTCTTCTCTCCTACCTGGGTATTGTTGAATTCCCTCTTTTTTGGACTCAATATTCCTCATTTTTCTGCACTGATTTTTGTCTTTTTTTTTTTCCTCCCACATGGACAAAATCCAAGCCCTATAAATCCACTGTGTAAACAGGAATATCCTTCCCTGAATGGGATTATTATTCCCAAAAAGCAAGCTGTCATTCCAAGAGGCAAAATCCTGTTTATTCTGGAGACACCAGCGCTGCTTACATAAAATCCAGACTAAATTAAAAGCTCCCATTTGGACCATTCCTGGACAGTTTGGGGCCAGTTTTCCAGGTTTTCAGACCCCCAAATCCTCTTTTTTCTTCTGTTTAGTCCCTGTTTTCCTCTCCACATGTGGAAGATCCTGGCTGCAGCCTCACCCCCTGTGGAAGCAGAGCTGTGCCCACTCAAATTCCAGATGTTTTTGGCCTTGGAGAGCTTGGAGGAGCTGGGATCCAAAGGGTGCCCCATGGAGAGCTGGATCCTGCTCGGGATCACACCAGGACAGCGGGAAAACTTTTTTCAAATAAAAATATTTTCATGAATAAAAACCTTTTCTTTATAAAAATATTTTATTTATAAAACTATTGTATCCATAAAATATTCCACTCATAAAGTATTTACCTTATAAAAATATTTTTTCTTTTCAACTTTTAAATTTATTTATATTCAAAAATCCTTTTTTTAATTATAAAAATCATCACCTGCTCATTTCCTTAAACTCCACCAATTCCAAACCATTCCTGACAAAACTCATCTGTCAAGGATTTTTTTCCCTTATTTATCCCAGCTCCACCCATGAATTTAAAGGTTGTTTTCCTTCTTTTATTTGGAAAAGCTGTTCCATAGCTGTGTCAGCTTTTCCATGGAAACAGCCCCGCCTCTGCTCCAGGGCTCAGAGCTGTGGGGAGCACTGGGAATTGGGGAAGAATTTCTGGGAGCTCCAATGGATCAGGAAAACTTCAGGGAAGGGAATATTTAAACCTGGAATGGGAAAGGCACAGAGAGGGCAAAACTCCCCTTTCCCTCCTGGTGTTCCCAGGCTGATCCAAGATTCCCTTTTCCTTCTCATCCCTGCTGAAGGAAGGATGCTGGAGCTGCCATGGGATACCTGGATCTTCCACTCCTGCTGCAGTTCATGGGAAGCAGTCAGGAAAAGGAAAAGGAAAAGGAAAAGGAAAAGGAAAAGGAAAAGGAAAAGGAATGGGAAAAGGAATGGGAAAAAGAAATTCAGAGCCCAAAGTGACATTAAATAAATCCCCAAAGTGTTTTTCCTAAGGAAGTAACTGAGGGTAAGAAAGTGTGGCCACAAAAATCATGGAATTCTGAAATGGTTTGGGTTGGGAGGGACCTTCAAGCTGATGCAGGTCCATGGGCAGGGACAATTCCCACCATCCCAGGGTGCTCCAAACCCAATCCAGCCTGGTCTTGGACACTGCCAGGGATCCAGGGGCAGCCACAGCTTCTCTGGGAAATGCATTCCAGCCCCTCCCAGGGGAGAATTCCTTCCCAATATCCCATCTACATCTCCCCTCTTCCACCTCAAAGCCATTCCTGCTTTTCCAGCTCATACACAAATCCCAGAGATTTTATTGTGGCTTTGTTGTTTCCTTTTTTTCCTTTCTCCTGCTTAAAAAGATGCCGAAAACTCCCAAAGAAAAATTCTTTCCATATGATCCCAGCACTTTCCCTCTTGGCTGGAACTCTGGATGTGGTTTTGAGTTCTGTGGTGGAGTTTTTTTCATCCTTTTATTTTTTTTAATCCCAATTTTTTTTTTTTTACTTTTTATTTCCATCCCTGGGAGAGGCCCTGCAGAATTCCAGACTGGCAGCGAATCCCGAGGAAACCGGAGTGGGACAAAGGCTCAGGAGCCCGGCACAAGTTGGTGCAAGCAAAGAAAACCAGGGAAAAAATTCCTTTTGCCAAGGTTTCCTAAGGATCCAGCCTGACTTTCCGTGTTTCTCTTGGATCCCAGCACGGAAGCTGCAGCCTGGCTGGAGAGCTGCAGCAGCAGCAGCGGAGGAACAGCAAGGGAAGGAAAATCCAGGGATTCTGAGGGACCAGGTGAGTTACAGGGATCGGGATAAAGGGATGGGATCCCCTGTGGGAACATTCCCACCCTGCTGAGCAGATTCCTTGGGAAAAGCAGGAATGAGGGGGTTTGGGAGTGCTGGGCTGGCTTTAATTTGTCCCAGTTAAAATTCCCTATCCCATTATCCACCCTGCACACCCCAGGACGGAGCTTTTCCCAGCGGGATGCTGCTCCCGGTGGGATGGTGATGGACACAGGGCAGGAAGGAGCCGCTTCCAGGAGTCTTCACAGGTTTAGAAACTTCCAGGGAATTCGCTTCTCCAGCCCTTTGGAATGTGCTGCTCGCTCCGGGATGGGATCGGGATCCAGGCACCGCATCCTGGGGGGAAAATCCCACCCGGGAGCCTCTGCAGGGACAACCCTGAATTCTCACTGAATTCCCAGCACGGGCAAATCCCGGGAAAGCTGCTTCTCCATCGGGAAGGGTGAAGGAGGGATCCGTGCCGGCCGATTCCATCAGGGGGGTTTGTCCTGCGGGAGAAGCTGCCCTGGGAATGACTTTTACTGTAATTCCTGCTGAATCACCGCCTGGGCTGGCTCGGGAGCCGGGAATTCTGCCAGGGAGCCGCCCAGCCTGGAGCAGGGACAATTCCAGGACACTGCAGGAGTCAGAGGTGCGGGCAGGGACACGGAGAAGGAGAGAGGGAAGAGCTGTTCCTTGGGAATCGGGAGCATCCTTCTGCTCCCTGTCCGTATTCGTTGGGAATCGGGAACATCCTCCTGCTCCCTGTCCAGTGCAGGGTGGAATCCTGGGATAAAGGGAAGGAAAAAGGGAAAAGCTCTTCCCTTGGGAGTCACAAACCCGCTCCTGCTCCCTGTCTGTGTTCCCTTGGGAATGAGGAACCTCCTTCTGCTCCCCGTTCCAGGGCAGGGTGGAATCCTGGGATAAAGAGAAGGAAAAAGGGAAAAGCTCTTCCCTTGGGAATCACAAATCTCCTCCTGCTAGGGCAGGATGGAACCTTGGGAATTTGCAGGAATCCAGGTGCACAGGAGTGTTTCCATCCAGGCACAGCCTCTCCTCCCACAGCACTCCCATGGAATTGTGTTAAATCCATCCAAACCTCCCTTGGTGAAGGGATATTTCCTTGGGAACCTCGTCTCTTCCCATTCCTGGTGAATTCCTGGTGAATTCGCAGCAAGTGAGCTTGCTGCTCAGGGCTGGCTCCTCCCAGGATGGAGGAATTCAGGGAATCACCCCCACTGGAAACAGGCCCGGGCTTTAAAACATCAGAAATTTAAAAATAAAATTTAAATAATGGATAATTGCAAAAGGAGCTACAAATTCCCAGACAAATATTCACCCAGGCACTGCAAATCCAGCTGCAGCTCCACTCCTGGATCTCTCCATGGCTGGATCCTGTTTTCCCTCCATTCCTGCCTCTCTCACAGCTCCAGCAGCACGTCCAGCCCCTCTTCTCCATCATCCCAGGGTTGGATAAACACCCCGGACAAGGACCTCGCTCATCCTCCAACCACGACAGGCAGTGGCAATTCCTAACCCACTTCCTTTTTGGGATACAAATATTCCTGCCTGGGAGTTCTCAAATCACTTCTGCCACAGCCCAGCTCCTGCAGGATCTCCGGGATATTTTATCCGACAGGAGCTGCCGGAGCTCGGCACCAGAATCCAGCAGCATTTTCCTTGGAAAACGCACAAAATCCTCCAGTGTTTTGGGCTTTTCCACAAGGAGCTGCCTACTAAGAAATTTTAGATCCTCCTGGGAGAGAAAATCAAACAAATCCCGGGGAAATCCTTTCCAAGAGGAAGCGCAGTGTCGGACAATCCCAGCCCTGAGGATGCCGCGTTTCCTGCTGCTCCCGATCCAAGGAGCTCTGGAGCCGTGAGGAGCTTCAGGCTGGAGAGAAGATAAAAGGTAAAAAGGCACAACTGGAATATTTTCCTTATTTCTGGAATGGTGCTGAGCTTCGGAGCTGGCACATCCGTGAGTTTTCCATCAAGGTTTTGGGTTTAACTGTGGGGTTTTAATCGAGGTTTGTCCTAAATTAAAAGGGGCAGTGCCTGGTGTTGTCCATGAATTTAAAGCAAGGATAGTTATGGATTTCTTTTTCAAGTGAAGTCCTAGGAATAACCCTAGGAAGGAAAACACCAGCAGGAATTCAGAGTGTGGCTCAGGGAACCCCAGAATTCCTGAGGTTGGAAAAGTCCTCCAAGCCCATCAAGTCCATCCTGGGCAGATTTTTAGGATTTTCTGCCCATTTAACCTTCCTGTGCTTCTATTTCCAGCTGGAAACTCAAAGATTATTTTAAAAATTAATGGAAATTAAAAAGGATTTAATAACATGGAATTCAAGCAATGAATGCTGATGGAAAAGGGGGATTTATCCCTCCTCCAGCTGCCACTGGAACGAGGTACAATTACGAATCCAAAGGATTTCAGGAAAGAACATTCCCTGCTCTCAGAGGCAAAGTCATTATTTTCCTGATAATGAGGATTTCTTGGATTTCCAGGAAGCTGGGACAGTGTGGCTGACACTTCTTTTCCAGCAGGGAAGAATGGGAAGAAAACATTTCCCAGGAATGCTGGTCCAATCCCACTCCTGACAGGTTTTTCCTCCTTTTTTCCCCCCCTGGCTCATTTTGTTCCTAGGGAAGCAGGTCCAAGGCTGGAAATTCTCCCTCTGGGTGTCCATGGAATGAAATCTATGAATCCTGGATTTCCAGTGGAATCCAGGCCATCCAGCACCCCCTTCCCGACCTATTCCAGGAATTCCAGCTGGTGGAAGAGGAACCATTCCCAGCCCAGGGTCAGCCCGAGTCCATCTCACTAATTGGACTTTGGAGAAGATCCACGGAGGCATCGATCCAAGAAATCTGTCCTGGATGAGGCTCCACTGCAATCACTGCAATGACACTAATTACACATGGAATGGGAATGAGTGGCCAATCTTCAGCTCCAATCCTTCCCTGGGAACAGGTCAGTGAGGAGCCAGAGAAAATTCCTCTTCTTTTCACCTGTTCCTAGGGAGGGATTGGAGCTGATTCTGGGAGAAATCCAGGGGGAAAATGCCTTTGATGTGGAAAACAGAGGAATTTTCTCTGGCTCCTCACTGACCTGTTCCTAGGGAAGGATTGAGCTGAATCTGGGAGAAATCCAGGGAAAAAAATGCCTCAGATGGAGAAAAAAGAGGAATTTTCTCCCTGGATTTCTCCCAGAATCAGATGAAAATCAGAGGGATGAAAATCTAACCAAGGATTCCCAAACCCCAGGGTTTATGCTGAGCAAATCCAGTTTGGTGCAGCTCTTTGGGTTTCCATTCCACACATGGGAAAATCAAACTGGAAAATACACACAGGAATTCCGATTGGAAGAGAATATGGGAATGGATAAACCATGGAAAGAAGTCACTGTCAAGAGGCTGCCAGAGAACATTTAAAGACAGAAATGCTTTTGATTTCTGTTGCTTTTGTTTTTCTTCTGGACTTTTCCTCCCCCAAAAAAATCAGGTTTTGGCTCTATATTTAAATAAAATTCCATATTTTGCCCTTCATTTTGAATTTTTTGGGATACTGAGGCACCAAACAAGCCAACAGAGCTTGACTTTTGTCTTTTCCCCAGAAATTTCCTGTAGCGTTTGTTCCAAGAGCTTTTCCAGCCGAGCTTCTGCTCCCAGCAGGTTTTGTTTGGCTTGGGATTTTTTTCCCCCCCGTCCTTTTGTTGACCTGGTGTCTCTCAGCATCTGTCACAGGTAATGCCAGCCAGGAATCGCCTTTCCCAGCGCTCCGAGGGGCACCGTTCCCACCCGGAGTCTCCCGGTGCCACTCCAGGATCCGTTAATAATTAACCCCAAGGAAAGCACTCGCCAGGTGGCCCTGATTGGGATCGCCCCGTTAATGGTTTGTGTTCCCTCTCCTCCCCAGCTGCTCCCGAGGGAGGATGAGCGCCGTGATCCTGCTGCTCCTGCTTTCCGCCGGGAATGCCGCATCCCAGCCGGAGAAGGCGCTGCCCCGGCGGCGCCTGGCGTGCGTGAGGTGCTGCGGGCCCTCGGAGCAGCCCGTGTCCATCTTCTCCCAAAGGTCCGCGAGGATGAGCGGCCAGCCCGAATATTCCCTGCCCAAAATCCAGCCCACCATTGACATCACCATCCTCAAAGGTGGGTGGGTGCAGCTCGCTCCCGGCCTTCTCCTCGCTGCTCTTCCTTGGTGCTTCCCAACAGCAAAACTCAGCCCAAAATTCAAGAACAAAAGCAAGGGGTGCCAAAAAAGTGCCCAAAATCAGGTCAAGGAGTGCCCAAGATGTGGTTGTGCCCAATACGAGGTCAAGGGGTGCCCAAAATGTGGTTGTGCGCAAAGGTGCGCAAAATAAGGTCAAGGGGTGCCCAAATGTGCCCCAAAGTGCCAAAACAATGTCAAGGTGTGTCCAAAACTGTGCCCAAGCAAAGGTCAAGGGGTGCCCAAAATGTTGTCATGCCCAAAATGTGTCCAAAACGATGTCTAGGGGTGCCTGAAATGTGGTTGTGCCCAAATGTGCCCAAACCCAGGTTAAGGGACGCCCCAAAAATGGTTGTGCCCAAAACAGGATCAAGGAGCACCCAAAACAAGGACAAGACGTGTCCAAAATGTGCCCAAAGGTCAAAGGGTGCCCAAAAGGTTGTCATGCCCAAAATGTGTCCAAAACAAGATCAAGGGGTCCCCAAAATATGGTGGTGCCCAAACATGGCCCAAAATTAATCCTTCTGGGAATTGGGAAGCTGCTGATATCTGATTGATATTCCTGGGTTAATCCTTCTGGAAATTGGGAACCTGCTGATATCTGATTGATATTCCTGGGTTAATCCTTCTGGAAATTGGGAACCTGCTGATATCTGATTGATATTCCTGGGTTAATCCTTCTGGAAATTGGGAACCTGCTGATATCTGATTGATATTCCTGGGTTAATCCTTCTGGAAATTGGGAACCTGCTGATATCTGATTGATATTCCTGGGTTAATCCTTCTGGAAATTGGGAACCTGCTGATATCTGATTGATATTCCTGGGTTAATCCTTCTGGGAATTGGGAAGCTGCTGATATCTGACCAATACTCCCAGGATGGGCAAACATTGCCCCAGCAGTTCCTCTGCCACCTGTCTCCAGGCCATTCCTGGAACCTGAACTCCCCATCTTTGTCTTTCCCCGCTTTTCCCTCCCCCTGGCAGGCGAGAAGGGCGAGATGGGCGAGCGGGGATTCCCCGGAGCAGCCGGGAAGGCGGGGGAGCGGGGATCCCGCGGGCTGAGCGGCCGCAAGGGCCAGAAGGGCCAGCCCGGCCCCCAGGGCCACTCCTGCAAGCAGCTCTTCGCCGCCTTCTCCGTGGGCCGCCGCAAGGCCCTGCACAGCTCCGACTACTTCCAGCACGTCACCTTCGACACGGAATTCGTCAACCTCTACCAGCACTTCAACATGTTCTCCGGGAAGTTCTTCTGCTACGTCCCCGGGATTTACTACTTCAGCCTCAACGTGCACACCTGGAATTTCAAGGAGACCTACGTGCACCTGATGAGGAACGAGCAGGCCGTGGCCATCCTGTACGCCCAGCCCAGCGACAGGAGCATCATGCAGAGCCAGAGCCTGATGCTGGATCTGCAGGAAGGGGATGAGGTTTGGGTCAGGATGTTCAAGAGGGAGAGGGAAAATGCCATTTACAGCGAGGAGTCGGATGTGTACATCATCTTCAACGGGCACCTGATCAAACCCGCCCTGGAGTAGGAGCTCCTCAGCTCCAGGGAAAAGCTTTGGGCCATCCAGCAGTGTCTTCCCTCTAGAAGTGCATCTCTAATTCCATCTGGAATGGTTGTAGCCCTGGAAGAGCTGTTTTTCCACATCTGTGTGGGTCCAAGCTGCGCAAGGATTCCAGAATGTTCCCAGCTCCCTTTGTGGCCCCTCAGGAGCATCCCTGGAGTTTGTCCATTTGACAGCAAAATTTTCCCTTCTTTCTCTGCATGTCCCACTCCATTTGGAATATTTGCAGCCCTTGGAAGGGTGGTTTTTCCAATCGTTTATGGATGGAGGGAACTGTTCCCACTGCACAAGAATTCCAGAAGTTTTCCAACTCTCTGTGTAGCCCCTCAGGAACATCCCTGAAGAGCTGCAAAGTTGGCAGCAAAAATTTCTCTTCTTTCCCTGCATCTCCCATTCTATTTGGAACATTTGCAGCCCTTGGAAGGGTGGTTTTCCACCCCTGTGTGGACAAAGGTGGCTCTTCCACCTGCACAAAAATTCCAGAAGATTCCCAGGTCCCTGTAAAGACCCTCAGGAACATCCCTGAAGAGTTTGCCAAGTTGACAGCAGAAATTCCACCTTGCTCTTCATCTCCTGTCCCATTTGGAATATTTGAAGAGTGGTTTTCCACCCCTTTGTGGATGGAGGGAACTGTTCCACCTGCACAAAAGTTCCAGAAGATTCCCAGCTCCCTGTGTAGCCCCTCAGGAACATCCCCAAAAATGTGCCAACTTGGCAGCAGAATTTCCCTCCTTTGCTGTGCTTTAGATAAGGAATTACAATAATTAGGATATAATTATGATAAAACAATTATCCTTAAGGACCAGAGTGATTATCCAGGTGCTAATTAAGGAATTTTGTTATTCCTGTAGAAATCTCGGCTAATTAGAGCCACCCCCTCAGCAGCACCAGGTTGGCTTCTCTCAGGCAAGGATTTTGGCATTAAAATCAATATTTTGCACAGGAATTAATCCCAAATTCCGGGTTGGTTCCATTCTGTGTCATATTCCATGGTTCCAGCAGAATGGTGGAATTAGAGCAATAACAGCAGATGGATTCGGGAAAGATTTTCCAGGGAAACAGAGCTCGGTACAACCACAGGCTCCAGAGAAAAACTTCCCAGAAGAACATCCAGCCTGCCTGGGAATGTGCTTCCCAACTGAACAAAATGCTGGGAATTTGGGATTTGCCAAGCTGGGATTTCAGGCTGCGCTCCCATCTGGACATTCCCATTCTGGAGCATCATCATTTCTGGAAAATGGAGGAAAAACTGGAAAGAAAATGATTTGGGGTTGTTTTGCTTGTTGTTGTTTTAGGGATTTAGGTTTGTTTTTTTTTCCTCAGAAATTACTGACTTGGAGCACCATAATTTCTGGGAAATGGAGAAAAATTGGGAAAGAAAAATGAGTTTTTCTTCAAGCAGTGGTTTTTAGGGATTTGGGGGTGTTTTTCTCAGAAATCACCATCTTATGGCACCATCATTTATGGAAAGTGGAGGAAAAGTTGGAAAGAAAAATGAGTTTTTCTTCAAGCAGTGATTTTTAGGGATTTGGGGGTTTTTTCCTAAAAAATTATGCATAGAACCATGGTGCATGCAGCAAAACCCCACCATTTATCCCATTCCTTCTTTTCCTTTCTCCCAGTCTCTCGTTTGCTTCCCAAATCTTTTATACAAAGAATCCAGGGAAATTCTTGCCAGGAAAACTCTTCCATGGATCTCACCTTCCCCAGCTTTGGGAAAAGTAGCTGAAATAAAGATTTTGCTTTCTGTACCTGGGGTTGTTTCTCTCTTTTCCATAAGTTTTTCCATAAGTTTTTCTGCATTCCCTGGCTAAAAGCACCACACTGACCCTGGAAAAGTCTCTGGGGGCAATTTTAGCTCCTTTAATCCAAAGAATTCCCAAAAGGAAGCTGCCACCAACTCCTTTTCCCCTAAATCAATCCCAAATCTTCAAGATCTCCCAAATTTCCTGAAAATAGGGAGTTTTAAAGTAGAAAATTCCAGATAAAAATGGATCCCAAGACTTGAATCCTCCTGCTTCCCTCACCCTGCATCCTGAAAAGGAAACCTGGGCAATTTCCATGATTTTAAAGCCACATTGGAAAGCTCCACATCTTTTTCCCTCCTTTTCCTATTTCTAATCCCATCCCTAGTTTGGAAAAAGAATTCCCAGGCTGGCAGGAGCTCTGTGGTGGAGCAGGAGCATTCCCAGCTGCTCTGGAATTCCTCATTCCCCACAGATTCAGAAGTTTTCCCACAATTTTGGATCTTTCCCATTTCCTGTTTGCTGCACTGACTATAATTACAATTAAAAATTCCCTGATCATTTCCAGGGCTGGAAAAACCACACCCAGAATGTTTTCAATCCAAAGAATTCCAGAGAAATCCCTATCTTCTGGGAAGCAGCAAAAAATCCATCATTTTTATCCCTAAATAAACTCACCTCCAGGAGAAATATTTGGATTTTGGAGCTCTCATGACTCATCCCAGTGCCAGGAGCAGGGGAATCATTAAATCCATGTCAATTCCAGGGGTACAACAACCTTTCCAAGCATCCAAAGGGATCCACAGGATCCAAATTATCCCTAATGGCCTAAAAACCACTGGGAATCTCAACCTGACAAGATTTTGGGGGAAATGGAATATGTCAAAGCTGGATGCTCCCATATTTAAATCACTTTTCCAGGGCTGGACACCTCTTTTGGGAAAGAAATTTCCCTAAAATCCAACTTAAGCTTCCCCTGCTCTGCTTGTTGAGCTCCCTCTATCCCAGGAATGCCACAATCCCTCATTCCCATCTCCTCCCAGCCTGTTTTGGGGACAAAGAGCCTGTTTGGGTGTGGTTCTGTCCCTCTGGATGGATTTTTCTCGGGAATAACAACAGGCACCGGTGCCTTGGGCAAACTCTTCCCTTCCTCTCCAGGAGGAAACTTTGGATTTACGACAGGAACGAGATAAAATCGAGGCCGATAAGGAAACCAGGCAACAAATCAGGCTAATGGATTGCCTCTGGATGAGTGGAATGGGATTTAATGACTCCAGCAAGGATCTATCCCACCCCAAGGATTGGGAGAAAATGCAGGAGATGGGAGGGGAAAGTGGGAAAACAAACAGAGAGCGCTTCCAAGCCAGGGAGCAATCCTGGCTAAAAGCTCCGATGGAGACTTTGGCCTTCCACACCCTCCCTGGACAGGCTGGGAATGGCAATTCCCAAACCTGGACAGGCTGAGAATGGCAATTCCCAAACCTGGACAGGCTGGGAATGGCAATTCCTAAACCTGGACAGGCTGGGAATCGCAATTCCCAATCCCTGGACTGTCTGGGAATGGTAATTCCTAAACCTAGACAGGCTGGGAATGGCAATTCCCAAATGTGGACAGGCTGGAATCTCCATCCTTCCCTGGAATGAGAGCTGGGATTCATTTGGGGGTTCCCTGTTCTTGCTCCCTGCTCTGTTCCTGTAAATCCTGAGGATTCCTCATTCTCCTCCTGATTTTCCAGAGTGGTTTTATTTTTCCTGGCAAGATCCAGGCTGCAACACCAGGAAAATCTGTGTGTGCTCTCTGCCCTCAGCACCTTCTCCTTGCTTAATTTTGGGAGATTTCCTGTTCTCTCACGGGTTTTTCAGTAAAATCCCTGGGATTCAGATGGGGCAGGGCCTTCCTGTAGGGAAAACTCTGGATTTGTGTCCTTGCAGAGATGTGGGAAGAGGTTCATCCCCTCAGGAATGGGCAAACAGGGAGATGAGCTGGATCCCTGGGATGAGGAGGGATTTGCTTCCCTGTTCCCAAAGCTGTGGATGTTCCCTCCCCAGCTGCATTTGTATTCCAGCCAAAAGCTACTGCAGAGATTTGGACACCCAACAATTCCTGCCAGACATTGGGAATGACAGCCTAATGCTATTTCCAGGGGAAATCACATTAAAATCAGCTCTCCAAGGAATTGCTTTGTCTCTGGATCGTTCTGGAAGCAAATCCCTCTCTGCTGGCTCCAGGTTGGAATGCTGCAATCTCAGCCACCACAAGGCCATTTCAGGAGTGAAATTCCATGTGCAGGAAACTGAGGAATTGCCACTGGATTTGGGGTTTTGCTGATGCAAAACCCAGCACAGAGCCCGTGAATTCCCAGGGGATCATATTGGAATCATCTCCCTTTTTCCATGCAAGGAAGAACCCAAAACAATTCATCCACCAGATCATTTCTCCCTGTTTTTCTGTGTTTTCATTCCTTTTGAGTCAGAATCCTGAATTTTTCCGGCATGGAAAAGACACCTGGACAGGGATGGGCTCAGTGCTGCCAGAGATCTTTTCCCACCTCAGCGATCCTGTGATTCCAGGGATGCAGAACCCTCCATTCCCATGTCCTGCCTCCGTCTGTGTGGCCCAGCTCAGCTCCCAGGTTTTTATCAGGTTAGAAATCCACAGATCTGCTTTTCCCTCCCTGAAAACGTGCTGGAAAAATCCAAACACCATCGAGTGCCATGAATTAATTCCATGGAAATGCTTCTGATTCCTGTCAGGAGCCAGGCGCAGACACGTCAGGAAATAAAAGAATTCCAAGTGTGGGATGGGGGCCCGTCAGCCCTGTCTGGCACCCGGCATATGGGGCTGGAATCTGTGGAGAAACGGGACAGGGATGCAAACAGGATGCTCTCATTAATTCTGGGAATGCATAATTAATTAATTACCCTGCCCAGGGGAGCTGCTGTCACCACGGCTCCCGGAGCCAGGGAGCCAGCGCTTCTCCTCCGGTGAAGCAGGAATTGTGCACGGGATTTGTGCTGCCTTGCTCTTGGAATCAGGAATTGTGTATGGGATTTGTGCTGTCTGGCTCTTGGAATCAGGAATTGTGTATGGGATTTGTGCTGCCTGGCTCTTGGAATCAGGAATTGTGTATGGGATTTGTGCTGCCTGGCTCTTGGAATCGGGAATTGTGCAGGAATTGTGTATGGCATTTGTGCTGCCTGGCTCTTGGAATCGGGAATTGTGCAGGAATTGTGTATGGGATTTGTGCTGACTGGCTCTGTTGTTCCTCCTGGATGCAGGAATTGTGCCCAGGATGGCTGCTCCATCCCTGGAGGTGTCCAAGGCCAGAGCACCCTGGGACAGTGGAAATTTTCCTGCTCATGGCAGGAGTTGGAATGGGATGAGCTTGAAGTCCCTCCCAATCCAGAGCATTCCATGATTCTTTGTTTTGCTAGGAAAAGCCAGGAGTGCATAAATTCATTGAGGCCTTAGAGGGATTTTTATTCTTTATTTTTTTCCAACAAATTCTCCAGAGAAAACCATGGTGGGATTCAGCTCTGGAGCAGGGAGGGGAAAAGCCCCAAATCTCCCTCTGGAATATTAAATAGGGATCTTCTGGAGCAGGGGGGGCTGCAATCCTGGATCTCCCATCCCAGAGGGTTGCACCAGGATTATAAACCCCAAATCCAGCCAGCAGAGGTGATCCATGGAAGGTGAAGGGAAAACTCTTCCCTGATAATTCCCAGGTCACTGCACTTCCAGGCCTGGGCTGTGTTTGCATCCAGGGCCAAATCCCCACAGAAATTCCTTCATGATCTCCCACTCCCACAAGCCAGGGTTGTTCATTCCCAGCTTTTCCCAAGGGCTGCTGCTTTTCCTGTTGGGAAAGCTCAGCGGGTTCATCCCAGGCTGAGGGAGTGGGATGCATCCAGAGTTTGGGATGACTCCTGGCTCGAGGTCAGGAACGGGATCCAGGGCTTAAAGGCTCAGGAGCAGGGAGCCAGCAGGGACAGCTTCACCTCCCGTGGCTTTCCAGGGAATGATGGGCAGATAGGGAGGATTAAGTGTGAAAGGGAGAGGGAACACAGAAACCCCGGAGCGCCGCCCATCCCATGGCAACAGCGCCGGATTTCCATGGAGTTCTCCAAACAACGCCCAAAAGGGCAGGAATGAAGGATCCAGGAACACCAGGAGCAGGGTGAGGTGAGCAGCTGAGGCATTCCAGGTGAGCCAGGGGCTGGAGCTGGATAAAATATCCTGGGAATAAATCTGGGATGAAATCTGCCGCTCCTGCCTCGGCTGCAGCTCCAAGGAGCAGGGACAGGTGTTGGAAATTGGGATTTGTAGGATTTAAGGATGCTCCTGATGGAGCAAGGCTGGCACAGGGAATGTTTAGATCCCAGGGATAATCCCAGCCCCGGGACCTCAGGGAATAGAGAGCTGGGAGTTTAACAGATGGAAGGTGCAAAAATTCTAGGTGTGCCCTGCCCTTACTCCAACATCAAGCCACTGATAAATCCCAGGATAAATTCCACACCTAAATCCTGGGATAAATTCCACACTTCAGGAACTTTCCTGGATTTTTCCTCCCTTGGGGAGCAGCCAGGAGAGATCCCAAAGCCAGAGGATTCCATGGTGACCCTGCTGAAACCCAGGAAGTGCCCAAGAATCCCAAACCTTTTGGGATGCCCACCTGGAATCTGCCTTTTGGAATTGCTGTCTCCTAATGCCACTTGTCCAAACTGCACCCATGATTTCCCCCCCTCAATTAAACCCATTTTTCATGGAATAAAAAGTGAATCCCTGAAGGAAGCTGCTCCTCTATCCCAAAGGTTGCTTGGTGGATTTTTCCACACACCCTTCCTTCCCATCCTTTGGTATCCAGCAGCTGGAATTCCCTTTGTTGCATGGATCTCATTGAATATTCATAGCTGGAGCCTGAACCAGAAATTCCAGTTTATTTTTTATTTATTATTTTATTTAATTTTTTACTTTATCCAAATTATTTTTCTACCTCCTGAAGGTCAGGTAGGCACCAGGCAAATTTTCCATAATCTTCCCGTGGGTGGATTTGTTGGTTTTTTTTCCAGCAGAGCAGAGCCAACATTTGGAATCCTTGGATGAATCAAAGGAAAAGCTGAATAAGCTGGAATTTGGAAGGATTGTCTGTCGAGGTATTAAAAATGTCACTCAATCCCTGGGGCTGAGGGATTGGGGCTGGAATGTGTGGAGAAAAAAAGGGATCTGGGGAGTGTCGGTGCTGTCTGGAGCTTCCTGGGAAGGGCTGGCTGGGAGGACAGATTTTCCAGGGAATTTGTCAGTCTTTGTGGAAGGATGACATGTTTTGATGGAATGTGTGCAGGGAGGTTGGCAGCTCAGCTGGCTCCTCAAAATTCCACTGCCAAGCTGCCAGGAGAAGCCCAGGAACGGCGTTTGGGGTTCGGGGAAAAGCCAGCAGAGCTTCCTAAGGCATCGAGCAGGTCTGAGGAAAGATTTGTTAGGATGGGGAGGGAATCCCGTGGAGCAAAGGCTGAGTGACACTGGAGAGATGATCTGCAGGAGCTGCTCCCAGAAAAAAAATTCCTTGGGCCAGGAAAAAAAATAAACTCCTGCAAAGCAGCATTCCCATGGCACTGAATTCCCCAGGGTTGGAATTTTCCTGGGAACTGGGGCATTGAGAGCTTTCCTAAATTTGCTCCTTAAATATGATGGATTGCAGCATTACCAACGGGAATGTTGGAGGGGCTGGCTGGAATTTCTGTTTTCTGGGAATTGGGATACCCATCCTGGTCTGGGGGGGTGGGAAAAGAAGTGTGGTCAGTCTGGGGCAGGTGGAAAACAAGGCCCAGGTTTATCCACCTCTTTTCCATGGTTTGTTCCCTCCAGATAAAACTTCCTTAGGTTAATTCCAAGGATTTGATCAAACTCCACGGAAGGAGGGGACAAATGCTCTTTGCTCTGCTCAAAACAGGGTTTAGCTCCTTCCCAGAAATCTGAATTTATTAAAATCCTTTTTCTTTCCAAAGCAGATTTTCCTGCCCCAACCTTGAGCTTTCCAGTCATTTCTCACTTCAGAGTTTCCAGGAGGGATCATTTCAGGTGGAAAACTGAGGGAATCACACCAAACCTACAGGAAATTAATTTTATTAATTAATCAATCAGCTAAACCTGGCTGTGCTGGGATTTGGAATGTGGGCACTGCCTGCTAGTGGGAGAAACATGGGAGTAAATTACTCATGGTCCCAGCCAGGCTCTGGGTGCATCCTGTGAGTTCCTGGCTTTGGGAATGTGAGTGTCACATCCAACAGAATAAACGGAATGATGGAATCACTAAAGTTGGGAAAAACCTCCAGGACTGACAAACACCCCCTGGAAACTGTGCCAGTCAGCAGGATTGAGCTGGGTTTAATTTCTGAAAACACAGCTTTGAGTCCAGACTTGTACTCAGAACCAAGGAATGGACACAAAATCTCCCCAGGAGCCCACGGCCATCAGCACTGGCATCACAACAACGGGGTCACAGCACATTTCATGGGTTGGGAGGGTGGAAATGTCATGGCTACATTGATTCCTTTCCGGAATGTTTTCCTAATCTTGGTTTTTTATCCTTTCTGGCTGTGTTTGAAGAGTTTCTGGCTGTTCTGGCTCGCTGGGATGGGTTCATGACAGGAAAACAAAGCAAAGGCAGCACGCAGCACATCAGAACCCATTTCCAGAGCTGTGCTGGTGCCTTTTTTGCATGAAACTCTGAAGAAATCTCATTTTCCTTTCAGAAATCCCCTTGAAGAATTCACAAAGATCCCAGCTGAGCTGTTTGCTGCTCGGAGCTGATCCCAGCAGTGCAAAGCAGCCTTAAACCAAGCTTAACAAGGGAATTAGAGCCAGCTTAGTGTTGATTTGCATCACTAGAGGGGTACAAAGCCTGGAAATCATTCCCTGGAGGACCCAAAGTGGTCCCAGACATCACATCCATCAGGACACCATGAGAGCTTGGCACTTCCAGCTGGGAAAAGCAGGGAAGAGCCCTCTGTGTACATTTCTTGGAGCTTCTGGGGCTCCACATTTTCCTTTTGTGTGAACTGAGCTCTCCTTGAAGTCCCCAAGTCCTCCAGGGGACTCTGCAGCGCCAGGCTCTGCTCCAGTTGAAGTCCCCAAGTCCTCCAGGGACTCTGCAGTGCCAGACCATGCCCTCCTTGAAGTCCCCAAGTCCTCCAGGGGACTCTGCAGCGCCGGGCCGTGCCCTCAGACCTTGCTGGTCTGCATGTGCCCGTTGAACTCTGCGTTCCTCTGGGTCAGCATGGACTCCTGCAGGCGGCTGCTGTTCTCCTGCCTGTGCTCCACGGGGTCTCCATCCTCCGCTCCGTCGCCCTTCCGGAGGCAGAGAACCTTCTGGAAGCTCTGCTTGAAGTTGTCGGAGAGGAAGCCGTAGAGGATGGGGTTGGCGCAGCTGTTGGCGTAGGACAGCACCACCATGAAGAAGTAGAGCCCCTCCAGGACGGGGTCGGCGGGCAGGATGAGGATCAGGTTGACGATGTTCATGGTGTAGAAGGGCAGCCAGCAGAAGACGAAGACCACCACGATGATCACCACCATCCTGGTGACCTTCCGCTCCGACCTGCGGCGCCGCGTGGAGCCCACGCGGATCCCCGAGGACTTGACCTTGACCACGATCAGCAGGTAGCACAGGCAGATGACCAGCAAAGGGCCAAAGAAGCCCAGCACCGAGGTGTAGATGATGAACGCCGCCGACCAGACGTTGACCGGCTCCGGCCAGTTCATGTTGCACGTCTGGAAGTCCTCCTGCACGTCCGAGAAGATGATCACGGGCAGCACCACCAAGAAGGAGAAGGTCCAAACGGTGGCACTGATGAGCTTGGCCACCCTGGGGCGTCTCCACTTGGTGGATTTGATGGGGTGCACCACGGCCAGGTAGCGGTCCATGCTCATCACCGTCAGGCAGAAGATGCTGGTGAACTGGTTGATGCCGTCCACGGTCATCACCAGCCGGCAGAGGAAGGAGCCGAAGGGCCAGTAGGAGATGGCGTTTTGGGTGGCCAGGAAGGGCAGGCCCAGCATGAAGAGCACGTCGGCCACGGCCAGGTTGAGGATGTAGATGTTGGTGACCGTTTTCATCTTGGCGTGGCGCAGCACCACGTAGATGACCAGGGCGTTGCCGCTCAGCCCCACGGCGCACACCAGCAGGTAGCAGATGGGGATGAGCACCTTGTGGATGTACTGGAACGGGGGCGGCTCCGCCAGCGTCCCGTTCTCCGTCGCGTTGGGCAGCAGGGAGGAGTTCGCCTCGCCGGGAGCGGCTTCCATGCTGAATGTGCTGGAAAAGTACAGGGGATCCATGGGTTTTTGTTTTCTCTCTGTGTTTTTTTTCCTCTTAAGAGAGATTAAACTTCATGGGCATCTTGTTCCTGGAAGGGAAATTCAAAATTTGAAAAGTAAAAAAATTCAAAAATTCAAAACTTTCAGAAATTCAAAAATTCAAAACTTCCAGAAATTCAAAAATTCAGAAAATAAAAAATTCAAGGAAAAGAGAGACAGGACTTTTACAAAGTGGACGTTTACAATCTCTTCCATTTTCTCTTCTATTCAGGATTTGGGGTTGGATTACTGAGACAAGGAGTAGGATGGGATCAATTCCCAACAAAGGAATTGTACAATGGGAGAATCCCCATGCTCATCCCAGCAGATCCCAGGTTCTGTTTCATTTTCACAGGATCCAGGGTTGGGTGTAGCTGTGATGGATTTTTCCCTGTGAGGCTGGAGAGGCTCTGGAACAGAATTCCCAGAGAAGCTGTGGCTGCCCCATCCTTGGAACTGTCCAAGGCTTGGTTGGACGGGGCTTGGAGCAATCTGGGATAGAGGAAGGTTTTGGGGTTGGAACTGAGACCAGGAGAGAAAGTAAAACTTTCCATAACAATGAAAAACCCTTGGAAAATATCCCTGAGCTCCAAGACAGAAAGGATCACATCTGAGATCTTCCCCAGCAGGTCAGGGTGTGTGCACAGAGAAGGGAAGGAATAAACTCTTTTTTCCATCTCTCAAGATTAATATTTGCTTTCCCACATCCTCTCCTCTCACCCTGAACTGCTTTTTATCCCAAAAATCCCTTTTTCCTGCAGGAAATCCAAGCTGCAGTGGGCAGCTCCAGGACAGCTGAGCAGATTTGAAGGTGAAATAAATTTTACCAGTCATTCTGAAAAAGGTGGAGAATTTCCAACACCTCTTTCCTGTGGTGAGCTTGATTCCCAGGAATACTTTTCCACCTTTTTGTCAGAATGGGTTTCGATTTATCAGGTAGAGAAACTTGAGAACATCATATTAAAAAAAAAAAAAAAGGAGATTTAGAGCACAAAATCCCACAGCAAATCCTGGTGAAGGTGGAAGAAATGCCCAGCAATTTTTGCTGCCATCACCTGACGATCAGATTCCCACAATAATCCGGGGGTTTGGATCTGGAATCACAAACAGGCAGCCCACAGCACTGCAAAAACTCCTTGTCTCCAGGAGCAATCAGAAACCACCTCCATCAGTGGCTGGGCTTTCTCCTGGGGTGAGAAAACCTGGGGGAGAGGAGGAGCCCCTGCAGCTCCCGGGAGGAATCACAAATGTGCCGAGCTGCTTTGGGAATGTGCAGATGGGGAGTAGGTGTCTCACGTGGCTGGGTGGAGATGCACCGGGGAAATTGGGAGTGCAGGGAGAGCTGAGGGAGCTGCTGGAGCTCCTGGGGGGTGGGGATGGGGCAGGAGGAGCTGGATGTGCTGCTGGAATGTTTGAGGTTTAGGTGTTGGGAGCATCCCTGCAATTCCCAACATCCCGCTGCAGGCAGAGGTCAGCCGAGCTCCTCATAAATTAAACAGGAGTGGGTCAGAGCCTGGGTAAAATAGCACAGGAAAAGACCAGTTCTGGCTGGAAAAGTGGAATTTTATATCCTGATCTTCAGCTTGTTTTGAATTCCTGAGTTGTAGCAAACCTCAGGTTATTTATGGGGGAATTCTGGGAGAAGCCGAAGCTGGGACCCCTCATTCTCAGCTGGGAGGGGTCTGGAAATTCCCATTTTCTTGCTGTGATCCCACTGGGATCACTGAAGGGAAGAACAGGAAGGAAAAATACATGGGATGGGGCAGGCAGTTTATAAACTCATATCCATGGGGCTGCATCCTTGGCATTGGGAATGTTCTTCCCAGACAAGCTCAGCACATCCAGGCTGGGCCCAAAAAGCCAAAATTTCCATTGAGCCTGGGAAAAATTGGAAGGCACGGAAAGAAAAAGTGCTGGAGCTCAGCAGGGAAGGTCAGGAGGGGCAGTCAAGTGTGGCTCATCCTCTAAAAAATGGAAAAGGACACATTTCCAAAGTCCCTTTTCCCACAGCGCACATCCTTGGATTCAGGACTGGAGGAATTACACAATAACTTCAGTCCTGGTCCTTCCACCACCTTTGGAGTTCAGGCCTTGGAAAGAGGAGCTTTTTTTTTCTTTGGATAATTCCCATTTCTTCTCCCCCTGGAGAAATCCTCCAGCCCCAAATCCCTCTTTGCAGAGGGCCTCGGGCTCTCCCAGCCATCCATTGGCATTCCAGGGGTTTTCCATGAAGGACTTGGGTGTGTTTTCCATGGAGAGGTGTGGATTTTTTTTTTTTTTGATGGATTTTTGGATTTATTTTTTGGATTTTCCAACAGAGAGGAACTTCCAGGTTCCCCCAGCAGCCAGACTTTTCCTGGAGTCAGGGACACTTTGTCTCCTCAGCGTTTTGGGGCTCTTCCTGTGGGTTTGTGGGAATATTCACCTTTCCCTTGGGATTTTTGTTCCGTGGGATGAACTGTACAACATTCCCTGTCATACCCAGCGGATTGGGAAGGGAATCCCAGAATCCTGGAGGTCAGAAGGGACCTCCAAGCTCATCCACCAGCACCTCCCAATATCCCAGATCGCTCCAGCCTGGATGTGGACAATTCCAGGGATGCCCCAGTGCATTTCCTGAGGGAAAATCCATTTCCTAAGGCTCTGCTGCAAATCTTTCCAACTCTTCCCTGCTGTTTTCAGCACCAGGAAGGAATTTACTCCACCTGGACATTCCCCATTCCCAGGATTTGATGTCCCAAAGCCCCCAGATCTGCAATCCAAACCCAGATCCCCATCCCACGTTTGCTTCCCTCAGCCTTTGCCTTGCAGCTACCAGAATTCTGGGATTTTTCCTGGAAAAAAAAACCCTGAGCAGCTGCAAATCCATGTTTTCCTGGCTGCCTTGGAGGAGCACAGGGAATTTTCCCCCTATCCAGGTGACAATTTGTCCCTCACCAGCACGATTTGGCCTCAGCTCCTTTTGTCACCACGACCCTGAACCTCCACAAAGGCTGATTAAAGACGATGATTAAAGGTAATTAAGAGGCGCTGATTGATCCCTCATAGCCTTGTTTGTTGTTCTTAATTAAGGGATTAATAACAAACACACCTCCAGGGGATTTCCTCTCATCCAGATTTTCTTCTCTTTGATTTCCAAGCCCCCACCCTGGGATTGTCCATAAATTTTGGGTTTTCTGCTTAAAATTGAGGAGCTGGGAATGTAGACCTGGAATAATCGCTGACAGAATTCCAAGTTTTAACAGAGCACCATCCAGGAAAAAAATCAGCATCCACAGCAGCTGAATATATCTCTGTCCCTGCTTCCCAAAAAAATTCAGGGAATAAATAGCAGAGGTGTTATGGTGCTAGAATTTCACATTTGTGAAAACTCCTAAATAAACCTGGGTGAAAAAAAAAAAGCCAAGAATTAACAAAACAGCCACTGAAAAATCATCCCGACCTAAGGAAAAACAAACATTTAAAATGGAATTAAAATTTTTAATTTAAAATTAAAAATGCTCAGGCAGATCAAGACTGAAGTTTTCCCTGGGCTCTGGTCACAGCAGGAAAGCAAAAATAACTCCGTGGAGAACATTGCATGAGAGTGGGGCAGGGCTCAGGCAGGAATTGCAGGAATTAAACCTGATTTTCCAAGCTGGATTGGATCCTGCTGCCTGTTTGCCTCTGGAATCATCACTCTCTCATCCACGATAATTGCTGGGAATGGAATTACAGCACCAGCACGGCAGATTGCTGCTTCCAGCAGTAGGATAATTAGGGATAACACAGCCAGTGGGAATCCAGGCTTTTCAAACTGTCTTGGGAGGAAAAACACCCGGAGAACTCTCCAGGAATTGTCTCCCGGCAGCAGAGCTCCCATCCCGTGGAGCTGGCTGCAACAAATCCCTGGGATTTTCATCAATTCATCATTTCCATGGCTCGGAGCTGCGTGTCCATCACCTGCTGCTTCCCAGAGAGCCGCGGGGCCTCGTTCCTGGCTTTGGGTGGATGGAGAAGGCAGGAGGGACCTGGCAGAGCAGCTCTGGGATAACTCAGAAATCCCGGGAAAGCTGGGTGGGAAATGCAGCATCACCCCGAGAGCTGCCTCAGCTCTGAGGGATGAAAATGTTCTGTACAATGCAGCGAGGACACCTTTGGTGTCCCATTCCCACCACCTGGAGTTAAAAAAAAACCGAAGGAATCTGTTCAGATTCTCTCAAAAAGGAATTTTCTCCTTGGATAAATCTGCCTTTGATGCTTCTCAGGGGGAGTTCGTTGCCCCGAAAAACAAAATTATGGATTTTTCTCTGCTGAAAACAAAACTTTCTCACCTGAAATTGCTCCTCTGTTTCCACTCTCTGAATTAGGACTAAACCAATCAGCTGAACTCCGAGTTCCACAACTTCTTCCCACTTTTAACCCTAAAAAATCGTTTAAAATTGTATATTTGGCACCACCTTGCTACCCCTCAGCTCCTCCCAGGGTTCCCCAGAGCACCTGAGAAACTGCTCCGATTTTTAGGAGCAAACAACTCATGAAACAACCCGTAAATCCAAATCTTTGCTGAATCCTTTTTTTTTCTCCCCAAACACATTCAAGTCGTGTTCAGAGATTACTCACTGGGGCTGAGCTGCTCCTGCCTCACCAACACTCGTGGAAAGCAAATCCTGGGTTTGCTCCCAGGTTTAAGCTGGGTTTGCTCACAGATTTAAACTGGGTTTGCTCCCAGATTTAAGGTGCGTTTGGTCCCAGATTTAAGATGCATTTGCTCCCGGATTTAAACTGGGTTTGATCCAAGATTTAAACTGGGTTTTCTCCCAGATTTAAACTGGGTTTGCTCCTGGATTTAAACTGGGCTTGCTTCCTGATTAAGACGGGTTTGCTCCCGAATTTAAGGTGGATTTGCTCTTGGATTTAAGGCGGGTTTGCTCCCAGATTTAAGATGGGTTTGCTCCCAGATTTTAGGTGGTTTGGTCCTGGGTTTAAACTAGGTTTGCTCC